CTATTTATTTTTATTTTTTATACACATATATATATATATATATTTTTTTTTTTTTATGACGGACAACGCTGACCAAGCCCAACAAATATCGCACATTCGCTGCGACCAGGGCTGGCCTCTGGCTCGCCTCTGACTCTTGTTGGCGTAAACAGTTGTAACTGATGTAAGATCTGTTAACTGGGGCAAGTTCAGTTGCATATTGAGAGTTGGATTTATAGAGTAGTTGGAAGTTTGTGGTAGATTGAATTTGATTTTCTAGCAATATTCTGTCTCGGTCCGGACGGAAGCTTTCCGTTGCTCGGCTTAAAGTTGGTAATTTATGTTTTAATATATATACATATATATATATACATATATATATAAGCATATAATATTAATTATTTTATATCACTTACAAATCACTCAATATAATTTTCGACTGTTGTTTCAAGTTTTATGGCTTCACTTTCTTGACTCATAATAATTATTATATGTAGCTCCAACAATATTTTAGCAATATTGTCTCAGAGTATCTTTAAATTTGTATTTCTCTCACCTTAAACCTAAACCCTTAGTTAACCCTAGTTAGGCTTGATATGGTTGCTATTTAGTTCAAAGGGATAGTTTATAGCTGAAATTTTCTGTAAGGTCTTGCTAATTGAAAAATGGTTTTTATGGTCCCATAAGATTTTTAGCCTTAGCTTAACACTTTATATTAGATATGTATAGGATTACTATAGTCTATCGGCAAATATGATTTCGTGATCTACTGAACTATAAACTTTAGAATTATTTGTATATTTCTACTGTGGTTCCTTGACTAGGCCTAAACTTTGCGCCCATTTTTCTCTTCAATTAAGCCTCGCTTAAGATCATAAGCTAGAATTATTCTAGAATCACCTTGCGTACAATTTCGAAGTTCAAGCAACTGCCTAAGATATTATTCTCAAGTAAGATAATAGAGAATGTGCAGCCTTTTTGCTTTTCAATTCAATTCAGTTTCAGCATTGTTGCTCGATTTGAATCAAGATGTTCAGCATTTTGCCAGCCCTACAAATCGAGTGGCAATGCATAGAGATAATGCTCTCTATGTACACACATGTGCCCACATACGTATGCATTGGCAATTGTTTGCATAGAGTCAAAAGCTAGAACTAGTTTCCTATGAGTATCCGCGCATAGTTTACCCCAGCAACAACAATGAGTGACAAAAGCTAGCGCCAGTTTAATGTGTCTTGCCTTTCCCTTTTTTTTTTTTTATAGATTTCTATGTGTAGATGTGAGGCAACACTTCTTGGTAATTGTCTGAACTTATCTAATCCACTCGACAATCAAGCGAAAAGATCTATAAATGACATTCTGCCAAAAGGAAACTGTCAAAAGTCAATATAAAATACAATATAAGATCATACAAAATCATTAATATATATATATATATATATATATACATACATATATATGTGTATATCTGTTTATAGAGCTGCCTTATCGAAATGGGCTCTCGAGCTTTGGCCTTAACAAATTTTAACTGCCAATCTTTTGTGCAGTCACAATAAAACATATAAAACGCCAAACATCAAGTGTTTGTTGTTCGAATTTCAATTTCAATTTCGATTTCAATTCCTAATACCAATTCCCGAGCTGCGAGACGAATGACACCAAAATATTTGAGACGATTGCCGTGGGGCACGTGAGGCGGGAGGGCTGAGGCCTGAGGCGGGGTACAGCTCGCCAATGCTCTTAGATCGTTGATCGATTCGATCAGCATAAAACTGAAAGAATGAAAAAAAATAAAAAATAAAAAGAATTGAAAAATAGAAAAAATCGCTTTAATTAGAACCAATTTAAAGCGTGGACCAATTTATCAGAAGCATTTTGAAAAGTAGTTGAAAACCAGTTGAGATCAACTTCAGCGCCATGTGCACACCTCGCCGAGGGGAGTGCGGCCGAAGGGGGCGCGCGGGCCGAAGGAGGCGTGGCTGGTTGTTGTTTACTTGCTGGCAGTCCAGAGTCCGGACTCTATAGATTGAACTATAACTCAAACATTTGCCATTATAAGTGACTTATTATTCCAGCTAAACTGAATTGAAATTTATCTTTTACGCATTCGTTTTCCTTTGTCAATTGTCTGCGCTCTGATATGGTTTATTGTGCGGCTAGGTGTGGACCCCAAACACCGGGTTCAAGTGCACACACCACATTGTTGTCGCTATGTATACATATGTATATAGGTATATCAACTTGAGTTATTTGCAGCTGCTTACGAGCTGAGCTAGAGGAACAACTAGAAATTGAAAGGGCGCAGGGGGCACGAACACTCCAGGGCAATTTGTTTGATTCGATGTCGGAGATTGAATGTCAACAGCTGCTGTCCTAAATGTAATTCTAAGTGAATTCCAATACAAGCTTCGACAAGGCCTCGAGTCAAGGTTTTCTTTCCTCAGTTGGCAGATAGGAAATATGCATTGTTTGTGTTCATAGATTTTCACCCAAGTTTAATGAAGTTTGCATAAAATTCTAAAGCTCCGCTTGCTCCAATATTCTTACAGACTTATAGAGATTGTGTACTACAAATTTAGATAGTGAAATACATATATGTCAGCACTGATGTAATATTTGAAGCATTCCTAAAAACTTATAGAACTCACTATAAAAAAGACTTAGCTACCCAGTCATGCCCTAGTGGAAGATCAATAGTCAGAAATAACAATACTACAAGAACAGAACAACTCTCTTAGAAAGTCCCTACATTTATAAAGATACAGGCATATGATAGCCTTACGATAGTTAATAAACTTATAAACCCTTTCGAAAACTCCGTTTACTGCTCTCCTAGGATCCACCTAAAGCTCAATATATGTATATATGTAAGTTATATACAGATTTCTTCAAAATACAAGTTCATCTAAAAACTTCTTCAACTACCCTCGCCTGCTCAGCTTTACACCTGGAAACAAGTTCATTATTTTGGTACTTGACAACCCAGAAGTCCGTCAAAAATTTTCCAATCATTAATTATCATACCATTTGTGGCTAGCTTTTTGCTGCTGCCTTGTCATAAACATCCGAGACGCTGAATGGGATTACGAACACTGTATCAGAATCTTTATTGCCAACTGCGAGTGCTGCTCGCTGGGCAGCTACAAAATATGTCTTGTGTCTAATTGCTTAACTTAGTAGCGATCATATTTCGCTTTGCTGGGCACACCCGGCGCTTGGCCATTGCTCGCCAAGCTTGGGCTTTGGCTCTGGCTCTGACTGTGACTCTGATTGTGGCCGTGGGTGGAGGCCAGCGTGTACACCTCATAATCGCTGATCGTGAAGTTGTAGTCGCCAAAAAGTGTCACATGGGCGGCGCTGGGTCCATCGTAGGAGTGCGGCAGATTGGAGTAAGAATCGGTGTTCACATTGCAGTTGCTCGATATGAGTAGATCGGCACCAGCGCCAAATGTGGGACCGCAACTGCGTGGATTATTAAAGAGATTAAATGAATATCTTGATCTACTGTATGACACTTACTCTGGATGATAACAGATGGCATATGGTTTCTTGACAATATCAAGTTTGACCGGCTGCTCACCATTTGGCGGATTGAGCATAAACAGAAAAGCGCGCTCTGAATGGATGTAGCCACCCTTGCGGCTTGTCTTAGCCCAGGCAACGTCCGTATAGCCACCACTAATCTCACCATGTGCGCCAAGGCCAATCACCATGCAGTTCGCAACGCCATCGCAATAGCGATGAAACGAGCTGGAGCTGAAGCCATGTGTGGAGGCGCGAAACACCAAGCGCCAAGTTTGTTTGGGCACACCAAACCAGCCATTGAGCACGGCCTGCAGTGCGAGCTTATCGTTGCGCAAGATTTGGGAACCGGGAAACATATTTACGGCAAGTCGTGGCTGCAAGCGCTTATCATTGTCGATGCAGTGCATATTGGGATGTAGGGCAGCATAGCGATAGCGCTCCAGTGATAGCTGCATGGGCACCGCACCAGTGGGCTCAACTTCTTCGGCAAACACCTGACTGTCGATGAGCAGCAGACGCACATGCCCCATGACGCCACTTAAATGCTGGCACACTCGAGCGCGCTCCTCTTCGGTCCAATGTGCTGTGGGCTGGGTGACGCCCGCCTGATACTTGGCCCAGGCTAAAACACATCTCCATACTTCCGCCTCCTCCAAGCAGAACTGGAAGGAACAAACAGTTTATACACTATGTAAAAGCTGATCACTTGAAGCACCTACATAGTCGGATGATATGATTTTGATAAGGGCCTCCTTAGTGAGAGTGAGAAAGGAATTAGTTTTAACACATTCGCTGGCATTCTCTCCTATGTAAATGATGCAGCGTTCCATAAACGAAGCCGCGCATTTGGCACCTGAAAATGAAAATAAAGACAATTATCATTTGCGCTTATTTAAAATCCAATTCACCTGGTTTCCCATTCAAAAGTCGCCAGTTTCATATAAAGTTTCGTTTATTTTATTATTGGTTAACTTTTCCATTTACAGTTAATTCACTTAATCTTAATCTTCTTCAGAGAAATTAGTTTAAGAATTTTAGCTTAATCCTTGGATGGGCTAACATTCTGTATAAGCGTTATATTGTCCCCCTTGAGCATGATGCGTCCAAGATTTTTGCGTTGGCGCGTTTTAACATAAACTTCCTCGGCATCGTCCAGTACCAGATTCATGTACTCGTCGAAGCCCACGATGTGGCCCTCGATACGCAGCGAAATGTTCTCGTATAGCCATACTTGGACGCGCGAACGGCTTTGCAGGTAACGAAAGATCAGGTTGATGGGTTGTACCATCACCTTTTGAACCTTGGGATTGCCTTTGAAGGACATTTTGGTGATTTGTTATTCAAATTGGCTTTCGTTTTTACAAAATTTTCGCAGAAACGTTTGCTATTTTTCTACCCTGCTTTTGTTGCCGGCGTCTTTTCGCTGAAGCGATACTATCGACAATACAACCTTAGTAACTGGAAAACACGATAACATAGTAGCCGAGTATATCGATAGTTGATTACAGACCGGTTGCGTCAGAAGGTGTCAGTTGGAGAAGTTTTGAGTTTTTGCCAAAAAATAAACATAAACATGGCTCACACTACCGTTGATAAAGGCGAACTTATGGACCAGGTGAAGCAACAAATTGCCGTTGCCAATGCACAGGAGTTGCTCACACAGATGACCACAAAATGCTTTAAGAAGTGTGTTAACAAGCCTGGAACCTCGCTCGATGCATCGGAGCAGGTGAGCAGATGACCCAATACTGCAATATTGTAACTTCATTATTGTTATTATTAAACAATATTTATTTGCTAGAAATGCGTATCCTTGTGCATGGACCGCTTCATGGACTCATGGAATCTAATTTCTCGGACCTATGGCAAAAGGTTACAACGTGAGCAATCAAATATGTGAGCTAGAGACGCTGCTGATGTGGCGTACGACTGCACTTGGGGCGCTATTCGTTGTTAATAGTTAGTTCTACTTAGTTCTACTCGTTGTATAAACAATAAAAACAAAAAAACAAAATGTTTCATACATGTTTTGTATTTTTATGGGTAAATAAAACGTGCTATGCGATATCGGTATCACCAACTTGCGATATTCAACTTTTTGGTATTTTTGGTAGCTTAGCAGCGATAGTTTTACGACCAAAATCATGCAACAGCTGTTTTAATCGAAACGTGCGCAGCTGAGTGACAGAAATGTTTTTTTCTTATCGAATAAGCGCGGTAAAGCAAAATTATAAATGTGAATTATAAGAGTGACGCACCTGCTTTCTCGTGAATATCCATAACGGCAGTTAAAAAAGTGCACGCATTATCTACAGACAGTGTAGAAATAACGTGATCCTCGCAAGCAGCACGCAATTCAAATACGCCCATATCCTGGGCCAGTGTTAACATTTCAAAGACACGATAATCCTGCAGCATTAGCTATAAGAAATAAAAAACTAAGGTAAGCCTGCTATTAACAGGTGCATTATGCATCTAGCCTACCTTTGCAGTATAAACATACAATATGAACTGTCGGAACAATTCGGCATTAATATGCGGCAAACGTATTGCAGTCGGCGTCCCAGTGCCCGGTGCAGCGGGCGAAACTGTGCACCCTGGTATGGGAATGCGACAGACCTCGCCACGCTTTGCTGTTTTAAAGCTCTTGCAGCTAGTATGAAAACATAAACTGTTAATTATTTAATCACTACAATGAGTGGCACGTGCGGTGGCCACAAAATGCCAACACGTAGTGGAGCATTCACCATAAAAGGACAATCAGACCAATTGGTCTGACAATCTAGACATTAGAGATGAGCGCGTGACGTGCTTTGATAATGAGAATAACTTAAGAATGGATGTATACACCATTTAAAAATTTTCAATAAGACGAAGATATGAAACAAAATATTCACTATATTGATAATTTTCAGTATTAAAAATATTTTTGCCCCACACATGTTATTTTTGTCACGTGCTATCTCCAATTTCATGCTGCAATTTACGAACCGTGCCATGAGGATGCTTCTGTGTGCGTAAATCTTCTCATCATCTCGGCCACAAATGAAGACCACATCCGCGCTGTCCTGATCCTCGCTCAGGCGCTGCAAGTCCTCAATTAACTGTGGCAGTCCAGCCAATGCTGGATCGTTGTGTGGCGAACGTGCGCTCATCTCTTACAATGTGTCTCCTCTCGGCTTCAATTGGATTACTGTTTTTGGGTTATTGTTATTGTTTTTGCTGTGCAAATATTTTGCTCTGTTTTGTTTATGTTTTCACTTCCACGTTCCGCTTTACCTACGCGCCTGCGCTCAGAAGAGAGCGAAACCGGTTTCGCCTGAAAATGCTTAAAGGCAAAACGAAACAACAAAAAACAAAGTAAAATATCCCACGCCACGAACTAAAATTGAGTTGAGAAAAACAATTAGACGGTACTTTAAATTGTTTTTCTACTGACTTTTACTTGATTGAAAAGCTTTAATTTATATTTCGCAGCATTTCTAGCTAATTTACTGTTATTTAATTCAAATTATTTTCACTTGTTTGCAGCTGACAATAAATTTTCATTCATGCGCACGCGCCGCGTTTCGTTTCGTTAGCTCGTTCAGACTGAAGAAGAGGCTGGCCGAGACGCTCCGATCACGGCACACCGTTAAGTTGGGCCCTTGGCCCTCTTCTTCTTAGCGGATTCTGGAGCGTTGTTCTGCTTGTTTTCTCTTAAGTCATTCTAAGAGAGCGGGAGAAAGGCATAGGGAAGAAGTTTATAGTCGGTGCAACAGGTAAGTGAATCCTAATTGAAATTTCGTTATTGATAAACTGTTGATATAGCTAGACTGCTTTCTTATATATAAAAATATGAATATTAAAAATTGAAAAGTGTTGTATATTCCATGTACAACACTTAAACCATTTAAATTGTTTAAATCGAAATTGAAAATTTATATATGCAACATACGGTAGTCGCGCCGTTTTTAAAAAGGCAATTCCAGGAGCGTCATCTATGTATTTTATATGTAAGCTTTGAAAAATTCCCGGGTATTAAGAAAGTGTGCTGAGGTTTGTGCACACACTTGCCAGTACGGGAGCCTATAAATTGTCTTATATAGTCGCCATCTGGCGGCGAGTAGCCAAGTAATTAGTCTTGTAGGTTTGTGTTCATGCTAAAATAATGTGTGCAGCCTAAGAGTATGCTACATTAAAATATAAAAGATTTGAAAATAGCCGTCTGAATTCACGCAACAAATCGAAATAGAAAATAAAAACTTTCAATTTTTTATGTTTTTCAAATATTTATTTATGCATAATATTTACCATTTGTTTTTTTTTTGTGTTTTGTATTTTGCCTTGACTTTACATATGTAATAAATGTTTAATGTTTTTTTTTGTATCTTATATAATTTTTTATTGGTTTTTATTTTATTTGTTGCTGCACTACTTAAATATGAAACGTTGAAGTCAAATTTTGTTGTTGCTGTTTCTTGTTGTCCTTTAACTGTTTAATTTGATTAAACTTTTACTTTGTTTATTTATTTATTTTTTTTTTTAATTATTTTTTATTTTTTAATTACGTTGTGGCTGCATTTTTGTTTTGTTTTGTTTTGCTCCACAATTTGTACATTTTATTTGCATTCTGAATGTCACAATAAATATTTCAATAAATTATATTAATAATAATAATAATGTTTATATGTATATATTGACAAGACGCGGATTTTGTATGTTTTTTTTTTTGCGTATTTGTTTATAACTAATGCCTTTAACTGTTGCTCATGTTGCTTTTTCTTTCATAAATATTTGTAATCAATATTTTTAAGCAGCTGTTTTTATTTCTACTGTAAAAATTTGTTTGTTTTAATAAAAATGATTGTTTTTTAAGTTTTCTTTTTGCTTTTGTGGGTTTTAATTTTTTTTAAGTTTTGTTATTTTTATAAAAAAAAAGACTTCTTTGGATTATTAGCAAAATAAAAAAATACAAAAAAGTTTTTTTTTATCATAATTTTTTTTTTAGAATTTGGTTAATTCGTAATTTGTAAAATTTGGCCTTTTATATGTAAAAAATCTGCTGAAAACCGTTTTTGATTAACCATTATTTTTTGCTTGAATTTTATTTGAATTTCTATTATTTGTTTACACAGGCTAACATAATTTGATGAGCGAAATTGAACTTGGGTTGTTGGGAAAAGTTTTTTTTTACCAAACTAATCGCAATTGATCTACACGGAAACCGAAAAAAACTCAGGTCAGAGGTGAAAAAAGCCAATTATAATTTCACTATTTCCATCCAATATTTGTTCAATAATTTTCCTCAAATTTATGTTGACCTGTGTAAATTTTATTGCTGGTTCTGTGGGAAGTTTTTTGTTTGTTCGCGCTTTCCTTGTTCTTCTTTCTTTTCTAAATGAAAAATAAAAAATAATGAATGTACAATAAATGGATTTTTTGTTTTTTGTTGTTTTTATTTACTTTTGCATAGCAATTTGTAATTCTTTTTTTTTTCGTTTCTTTATTTTTTTGCGTACAATTTAAATAACTTTTAAATTTGCATAACAATTGTTCTTTATTTTGTTTAAGTTATTAAACTTTAAATGTATGTTTATATATATTTAAATTTTAATTTTAATATTAATTTTAATTTTTTTAATTTTTCCTTTTTTTTTCGTATATTAAATTTACAATTTTACACAATTTTAGAAATTTTGGTTTAAAGTTTTTATTTGTTTTTCGAAATTCACTTAAAAACACAAACTCAGGGCGCTTTTTTGTCAGTGTTCTTTTAGAAAGTACAAAACACATGGGCGTAATTAAAATTTAAGATATATATATGCATATATATAGTCATATATATATATATGTATATATATGTTTAACAAAAGTTTATAGATTTTTGAAATCTTGGCTCTTGGCTTGGCTACGTTTTTCGTCTTCTTCTTTTTGTATCAACTGCGTCTTCTTCTCTTTCTCCAAACAGTGTTGGCAACGAAATAAAGAAATGGTCTGTCACATACCGATAGATCATCAGATAGCGATATCTATCGTTAGAAATGATATTTACAATAACAATTACGAGTATTTGCCATTCACAATAGAAATTGCTTAAGAACTATTTTTGTTGTTTTTTTTTTCTGTTTTAATTATTTAATTTTTTATTTATATTTGATTTATAAACTAATTAACTAAATGCCTACAAAGCGCTGCTTACAAAGTGAAACAGAAAAGGTTTACAATTAATTTAAATTTGTATAATAAATATTTATGTTCATATATATGTATATATACATATATAAATGTGTGTGTGTATGTAAGTTATATATATATAATATATAATTGTATATATATATATAAATATACATATATATATGTAACTAATCGCGCAAACTTGTTCAGTAAAATATGTTAAATATTACGTTACGTTAAGATTGGTTTAGCAATTCATTTATCTTAACCTAGTACGTTACGTTATGTGACGTTACAGTGCATTAATGACGTTATATTCCATTACATTGCATGTAGTTATGTAGTTTACGTCAAATTGCATATCGTTACGTAACGCTGCTTTACGTAACATTAGCACTAGCACTACGTAATGTTATAATAATTGTCATTGCATATCGATACGTCGCATTGCACTCAACATAACCTTACATTGCATCGCGTAATATTACGTTACGTTAACGTAACGTTAAGTTACGTTATTGTATTTTGTAATGCTATGTTGCATTGCAAAACGTTACACTTCAATACATTTTGTTTACGTAACGCTACATAACGTAACGTTCCGTTAAGATTGATTAAGCGATTTGTTTTTCTGTTTTTTTTTTTTAAACATTTTTTAATTTGTTTTCTATTTTGTATTTTAAATATTTAATATTTGTTTATTTATATTCTGTGGTGGGTTCATTTTGTGTGTATTTTTTGTCTCGCTCTCGCAACGCTCTCTTACGTTGACTCTTATGCGTTCTATAATTTGTAACTTAAAATTAATTAATTCAATTAAACTAAAATAAAAAATAAAAAGCTTAATACAAAAATTTAATAAAGAGTAGAGGGTATTTTTTATTGTGGATGCCTGTAGTTAGTGTTAAAAAAGATATCCAGTGTTGAACAATTTGCTAAAAAAAAATAATTTGCAAGCCTCGCTTTGAGTTTATCTTTTTTATTCATCTTCAATTTGTGTAATGTCTTCAAAGTTGTTAAAAACTAATTTTAAAAATAAAAATTTATAATTAGAAACACACACGCATAAATTAATTATTTGTTTTTATTTGTTTCTCTCCTTTCCATTTTTGTTTTTTATTTTATTAAATTTATTATTCATTTAAAGCTTTGGTTTCAATGTTCATAATTTCTGCAGCAGAGTTGAAGAAATTTTTGTAAAGAAATTATAGAAATAGTTGTTAATAGTTAAATTTAAATTTTTTGTTTTATTTTATTTTATTTTATGAATTTGTTTTTCATAAAGAACAGCGAGCGTTTTCTTTTGTTTTTGGAAGCCTAACAAATTTGTTGTGTTATACGTGAGATCAAAACAAGCTACAAATAAAAAATGGTTTTAGAGAAAGTGTTGAAAAACGTTGAGTTTTCGTTTTCGTTTTCGCTTTTGTTTTTGTTCTTTTTTTTTTTTAGCAATTTTGTCTGTGCGTTAAGCAGCGTTGAGCATAATTCTGTTTTCTTATCTGTTTCTGTTTTCATTTGCTTTCTGTAAACTCTTAAACTATGCCTAGTGTGTGTGTGTGTGTGAAAGAGACGACTATATGAGCTAAGTTCTAAGTGTTAATTGCAATGCGTTTGCAGCTGGCGGGCAGGGCTTTGAAGGGGGGGCGCGGGGCTGAGGTTGTGCGGCTTAGACAATTTCCTTTTTGATTTGTAATTCGCAGTTCGTTGTTGTTGTTGTTGTTGTAATTGGCGGCGTTTGCTTTTTGCTCGCTTTGGTGGCCATTAAAATAGGTCGCGCTGCTGGCGCTGGCGTCGCCTCTGCTGCCGCTGGCAGCGCAGCGGCTTCGCGACGCTGACGTCGCTGCTGTTGCTGCTGCAGTTGTTGTGTTTGCAGTTGCTGCTGCTGCTGGCGCTGCTGCAACGGCATCTCATCATCATCCGAATCCTCGGACTGCTTCTGCTGCTGTCGCTGTTCTGTTCGCGTCAACTGCTCTGCCTCCTGCTGCTGCTGCTGCTGCTGCTGGTCTTCGTCGTCGTCCTCCTCCTCCTCCTCCTCGCTGCATATCTGCGCCTTCTTCATGGCCGTCTCTACGCTGCTGTTGCTGCCATCGAACAGCTGGCCAGCCGTTGCAGCCGAATCGGGCGATTGAGGCGTGGTCGCTGTGGGCGGCGCAGCCAGGGCGCTGCTGTGCGGTGCCTGCGCCGTGCGCTCAGCCAGCGCCATTTTGTGCTCATGCTCCTCCAGCTCCTCATCCTCCTCCTCCTCCTCGTCCTCCTCCCCACTGCTGCGACTCGCACTTGGACTCTGGGCATGTCCATTCGTCTGCAGCTTGAGACGCTTGCCGGCTGGCGCCTCTTCCTCCTCGGCTTGCTGCGTCTGCTTTTGCTGCGCAACCGTTGCGCAACAGTTGAGCGAGCTAATTACTTTGTTGTTGTTGTTGTTGGCCTGATCCTGATTGAGCGTCTCATTGCTATCGGCTTCATTGGCGCCCAACAGCAGCTCCTGCTCCTCCTCCTCATCGTCCAGCTCCTCCATCTCCTCGTCGTCGTCCTCCTCCTCCTCCTCCTCGAGCAACGTTTGCTGCTGCTTCAATGGCACCACACGCAGCTTGTCCATCGTCTCCAATTGGCGGCGACAACGCTGCAGCTGCTCCCGCAGCTCTCCAATCTCCTCCTCCCGCTTGTGCAGCAGCTCGCTCAGCTGCACATTCGACTCGCGATACTTTTGATTCTCGTGCAACAGTCGCTGCAACAGATGCAGCACACGCTCCCGATCCTTCGACCTGGTGTCCCGCAACGCATCCACCGCCAGCTCCCACGGCGGCAAGTGCATCGCGCTGCTGTCCGGCTCACCATGGAGGCTGTCATCATCCGTATCCGTTGACAGCTCAAACTCGCTGCCCAAATGTGATTTGCCATTCACCGGCAACTGTTGCTGCTGCTGCTGCTTCTGCTGCTGTTGTTGTTGCTGCTGTTGCAGCTGCAGCTGTTGCTGTTGCTGCTGCTTGGCATGGGGCGAGCTAACCACATTGGAGGAGTGCGTGCTGAGATTGAGGCATGCGCTGGAAGACTGCGTGGGCGAGTAGCCAGCCTTGTAGTAGATGGGTTGCACAGCAGCAACAGTTGCTCCTGCCACCGCCGCCGCAGCAGGTGCTGCCACAATTGTAGTTGCTGGTGCTGCTGCTGCTGCTGCTGCTGCTGCGGCTGTTGGCGGCGGTTGGCTCATTAGATTCTTGTTGATCCTAATGCGACTCGGTTCATTGTGATTGCTGCTGCTGGGCAACAGCTTGGCATGCTGATTGACGGTGGCTATGATGTGGTTGCTCAGCGGCGTTGCAGCGACGGCAACTGTTGCTGCTGCTGCTGCCGCTTGGTTGGCAGCAACTGCTGGCGCTGCTGCCGCCACGGCCGGCACCGGCGATGTGGAGGAGGTAATCTCATTGCTGCCCGCCGAGAACTCCTCGGCCGGCACCTGACGGGCGACAACAACAGGCGCCGCCTTCGGCATGGGCGAGCTGCTGTTGCTGCTGTTGCTGTGGTTGCTGTGGTTGCTGTTGCTGCTGCTGTTGCTGTGATTGCTGTGGCTGCTCTGGCTACCGTTGGGCGGCTCACGCTCGCTGATGCCGGCCGGCGGCGTTGCTGCCCGCTCCTGCTTGATGTGCAGCTGCAGTTCGCGTTGCTCCAGCTCGCGCTGGCGCTCGCGCTCCTTGCTCAGGATGCTCTTGCGCGGAGCGAGCGCCACGTTGGGCTGATAGGTGCGCTCGAAGCGCTCGCGATCTGTGCTCCTCACCACACGCTCCGGATTCTGCAGCTCCGGCGGCTCCTGGCAGGCATACGGCAGCGAGGAGAGGGCGGTGTACGCCTGCAGGTAGGCGCTGGCCGTGGGCTTTACGGCGTGCCACGGCTGGAAGGCGCTGCTCGAGAGCGTATGCTGTGAGACGACTCGCTCCCGCTCGCGCTCCCTCTCACGATCCCTCTCACGCTCCCGTTCCCGCTCCCGCTCCCTGTGCTGCATGCAATGGGCATACATCATCTGGTAGTGCTGTAGGTCCAGCGGATAGTAGTTATCCAAGGCGGCTGCCTTTAGCTTCTTGCTCGGAATGTCCAACAGCTCGACGCGCGCTCCATGGTGCGGCAGGGTGTGCGGATGATGCTTCAGGCTGGCGGGCAGCGTTTGATGCGCTCCCGCCGGCTGCGATGGCGGCAGTGGCGGCGGCGGCGCTGGCGCCACCAAACCCATCGGCAACAGCAGCGGGTCCTCCATCAGCATTTCCACCTGCAGCAAAAGAGACAGAGAGAGAGGGTGAGTGAGTGAGTGAGTTAGCTGACTGTTATTAGAAAATTGATCGGCCATAAAAATAGATGCTGGCGAAACCAGTAGCCGTTGGCCATTAATTTGAATTGCCAGCGCGCCGTCGCCAGCATCGTTTTCGACGCGGCTAATTATAAACAAACAACTGGCCCAGACAGGATCACCGCCAGCAGCTAGTGGATCCCAGCGCGCGCGACGATCTTCGAACAGCCCCAACTGCTAAACGCCCCGCGGCTATGGCGCCAATTGTCATTGAGCCGGCCAGCCAAAGCGAATGCCTAAACAAAGTACACTGCACAAAATTGGGAAAGAGTTTGCAATGTTGTGGGCATTCTCTGTATTTTCAACTAAGGTATAGCTTCCTTCAGCGCTTCCAAATCTACTTTGAGTAAGATTTTTTAATATTTTCCAATTATTTCTTCTTCTCTGTTGTTTGATGAAATCCTCTTGCGAGACGAAATCCTGTAGCAGGAGGCTTCATCTATTTCTTCTTCTTTTCTTACTTCATCAACTTGTTTGTTGAGATATCAGATTTCTAATCGACTGGATCCTAAGTCTAACAATCGTAGAATAATATAATAATATTAATTTTTGCCATTTTCCTACCTTAACCCATATAGAAAATGTCAAAATTCGGGATTATAGAATTTGCATGCCTGCATCTACCAGGAAAAAGGAAATATGACATGAGTCTATCGAGAAATTCTCAGATGTGATAATGAATGTTCATATATCCATCTATCTTTCCGTCCGTCTTTCAGTTTATCTGCCTTTTTTATCTGTCCATCTATACTTCCTCCCCTTCCCCTTCAATTGATCTGTTCCTCTAACTTTGCGTTTGTCTTTCAGTCAGGGCCTCCGTTCCTCTTTCAGTCCGTCTGTTCCATCGCCCCTCAATGCTTCCATTCTTTCTACAGTCTACCCATCTGTCCTTGCGTTCAATATGTCCCTCCGTCTAACAAGTATCAGCGAATTTCTTAGACATTTCTACACCAACGACTCGCTCTGCCCCGCTTTTCGCTCAGTGTAGATGTGTCAAAAGGAGCTGTTTGGCTTCTTTGACTGGCATATTTTGCATTATCATTCAGCGACATTCCCGCAGACATGGCCGGTTGGCTGGCTAGGTGGATGGTTGACTGGTTCTCGATTCGGGTTCTGGGCTCTTCTATCTTTCGATTTGCTTTGGGTTCGCGTGTTTGCCTAGCTGTTAAAATGATTGGCACCGCGGCCAATTATGGCCCCGTCGACTCAGCCATAAAGTGATTTTGAATGGAGGCGGCGCCAGTTGCCAGTTGTCAGTTGCTCGTTGCACAAAGTCTTCTTCTTCGACTTCGACTTCGGCGGCTTTTGCCAGAGGTGTCACTGCGGCAGTTGAGCAAATGGCCAAGATGTTGGCCATTCGGCAGTTGGCCAACCAAGCACTTGGCCATTAGAAGTTTACAAGCCAACTAATCGCTGGCTTAGCCAATAATGATGAGCTGTCATTAGTCGTGGAGTCATTAGCAGAGCTATTGACAGTGCCAAAACGTGAAAACGATTAAGATTACGATTAAAACCATTCGATAGCTGTGCAAATGCCAGCATCAATGCAGCTAATCGATCTGACCATGAACGATAGGCTTGAAAATTGGCATTCAAGTGCCTAAAGCTGTCGAGACGATTGCTGAAGATTTGGCTTCGATAATTGTCCATTCATTGTGTAATTTCGCATCGATAGGTTAATGTTGAAAGTCAATTTGAATAGCTTTATTTGCTTTGGTTTCATTGATACCCAAGATCGATAAATGGTTGGTAGCACTTTATATAAATATACGATACAAATTATCGATTATTAAACTAAAATCGTCAGCTAGCAATGAAGTATTTATATATGATTATAATAACCTGATCTGAAATAAGTTCATATGTGCAAAATGATCGATTAATTTACATCGATTGTCATATAAATCAAGTTGATTACTATATTCATATAAACAATCGATAAATGCGATCGATATACAAATATCAAAGTAACAGCAGATCTAGAAAACTCAATGTGTGTCATACCTTTTATTAACCAAATCGATAATCAATTAATCGATTTATTTTAAATCGAATATCATATAAAATACACTATGACAACTACGAAGCAGACCAAGATCTATTATAATTATAGACAAAACTGGTTTGAATTAACGATTCAAATTCATATCTCAGCTATGTAAATAGTATATCCCCTAGTCCCCAATTAAGATCTAGTTATGGTTGACATATATTTTCACTTAATTGATCTCCATTAAGCTAAGATCATGCAAACAAATCGCATGTCTACAAAGTATGCAACATAAATTGCCGAACTGCAATGACAACAAAAATGCGAGCAAGAGGAGCAGAAGAAGGGGCGTGGCAGGAGGAAGACTGTAATAGAGGTAGAGAAGAGTGCAAACCCCTCACTAACTATGCAAACAACAAGCAAACAAACAACGCAGTTAACTGAAGCGCTGCAGCCGTAACTTGGCCAAAACGATGGCTAAACACAAGTTGGCCAAAAAGTGGCGACGCGACGGCGACTGCGTTCTGCACAAAAATGTTAAACAGAGATTAAGCCAGGAGCCAAGGCAGCACAGAGAGGAAGTTAGAGAGAGTTGGCAAGCAAGGAGGGAGAGGTTGAAGATATAGAAGCGGCGATAAGCAAACGGGAAGCCAAATACAAACAACAGGCGAGAAAGAGATGGAGAGCGAAAAGAGCAGAAGGCAAGCGAAGACCAAGCCATGTAAACAAGGGGGCGAGTGAGGCTGGGGTAGGAAGAAGGCAAAAACTAAAGATATAGAAGCAGCGATAAGCAAACTGAAAGCCAGAACACAAAAAAAGGAGAGTGATAGAGCGGGGGAGCGGTAGGAAGAGAGAGAGAGAGGGGCGCTGCAAGACACAAATGAACCATTAAACAGCAAAATCATAAAAATCAAGAGCCATAAAGAAGTCGTCGAAGGAGCGCCAGCAACAAACCGAGTACAGCCAAACAGCAGTTCCCTCACACACACACACACGCATGGATGCACATACGATGGCCACTCACAGCTGAATCACAACCAGAGTGGGAGTGCGAGCGGGAGAACCAAAGCTCTTTTTTTAACTGTACGCAGATGGCAGTCAGCGATAGATGAGGAGGACAGCAGCAGCAGCAGCAGCAGCAGCAGCAGCAGAGCTAGAAGCAGAGTGAAGAGAGCAGAGAGTGGGAATTGTAGCGGGTGCTACTGGTTGGTTAGCTAGCCGCAGTTAGCTTTTGGCGCACGCTTCTCGTCGTCTCGCTGACGTCGCAATGACAAATTGCACCAAGAGACAGTCAAAGTGAACCGAAGAGAAAAAGAGGCAGCAAAAGGAGCAGCCGAAGTATGTTAGGTAGCCGAAGCTGGCGTGCAGAACTGGGTGCGGGTGCCGATCGGTACAGTCAGTGCAATGCGGCAGCTGCTGCAGCTGCTGCGCTGCTGCTTAAGTCCAAGGTCTTTTGCAATAACTCAACACTCGGCAAAAAGAATTGAAAAAGCAAAGCAAAGCGAGACTTTAAATACACTACACAACAAAAAACTATATTAGCCAAAATAAAATATTAAAATATGAAAATTAAGCAGAGATATATTTTTTTTAGTTCTTTATTAATTTAAAAAAAAAAATCCTAAAAATAACTTTCATTCTATAACTTTAACATTTTGTTACACTTTCCAATGTTTTTTTTCTTTCTAAATTTTAATTTATTTATTTTCTTTTTTTTAGGCACTCTGGTAAAGTTTTTAGCAAATTGTGAGTATTTTGAGGTATAATAAATATATACATATATACATATATTTATTTATTCAAATATATACATAAATATTTATTTGTGTTAAAAATAGCTCTCCTATATATGTACATAAGTAAAATAATATGCAAAATATTCAGATCATTTTAATGTATTATTCACTTATACATCCATCTAAACTCACTCTGCTAGCTTTGACTAACTAGAGAGACGTGCTAAGCTACTCTATGGCGCTCCTCTTTGTACAGAGTACAAGCGACACACCTTAGCGAAGTTTATGAGCAAAGTTATGTTGTCCCCAATTGCAAGTGTAAAATAAAATAATTGCGCCCAAGTGGCGGCAGTCGAAGAGTCACCAAAAAAGAAGAACACGAAGATGAAGATGAAGAAGCAGAAGCAGAGATGAGCAGTGGAGAGAGGAAACGACACGACAAGCAGAGCTTTGGCAGGCGACATGACTTTGCTTGACGATAAGATCATGATGAAGAGAGCATAGAGGCGAGCACACGTTCGCATGTGTCTGTGTGTGTGCGTGTGAGAGAGAGGAAGATTGTGTGCATGTGTGTGTGCATATGTAAGTCATTGATTTAGTTTGACAATTATGCAGAGCGAGCTTTGCTAGTTTTTGCTTGGCTGTGGACGAGGCTGCGAATAACAATGGAAAAATAAAACTCACGCAACTGTTTGTTATATTAATAATTCACTTAAGTGAATATTCTCCGAAATATGATTCTATTGGAATCAAATCACCAATTTGGAATACTCAAAAGAATATCAATTCAAAATTAAATTTGTTCATAATGTACAGTTCAAAGTTTGCGTCAAAGTTGGCGTCGCGACTGCGCTGTCAGCCACATCTGCATTTCTTGGCGTCCGTTACGCCAGCTCCTTTCCTCCCTCACTGCCTCAGCTGCTGTCGGTGTCTGCGTCTGGCGCGGGCTTTAAACTTGTTTGCCAAGCGCGATTCGCATCGAATCGGATCGAATCGAATCGACGTCCGAGAGTCGCGAGTCGAGAGTCGACATTGCCATCCCCCAAAGTCGCGACATTTACAATTTTAATTCGTGTTTTTGTTGGTTTCGTTGCTGTTGTTGTTGTTGTTGATCTTGTCAGTGCAGTCAGCGTGTGTAAACGAGAGCGAGGGAGCGAAGAGAGAGAGGAAGCTCAACTAAGAGCAAAGCAAGCGCC